AAGTGGGAGGGATGTTCTTCCGTAGTTCTTGAAGGTCGTGGAACTGAACGTAAGAATGGGGATTCTCATCCTCCCTCCAGCCAGACAATGACAGGTTAGAGAGATTGAGTTTACTTTTCCAGGTGCACCATAGAATTATACTAAACCACCATTTTAAACGTTTTTGCAAATTGGTCAAAACTAGTATTCCATAGACTTTCTCATACTCTTACACACAATTCACACATTATAATAAGTCATAAAATATGATTCTATTTTGTATAGATTTTTATCTCTGGCTTATAATTCAGTGTATCATATGGATCCACCCAACTGTATTTTACTCAGTTAATTGTGATTAAATGAGTAGCGTGGTGGCCTAGTGGTGAAGACGCTGACCTCCCACTCAGAAGGTTGAAAGTTCAATCCTAGGTAGTGGCAGATATTTCTCTCCTAGAGCAAAAAGGGGGAAAAAATCTGTTCCATATAGGTGTAAGGAAGGGCCAGTAAATGCTCAAGCTCCATCCCAACTCTACCCTGAACTAAAGTTGTAAAAAGAAAAAAAAATGTAATTAAATAAGATGGGTTAATATGAATGCCAGATAAACACACAATTTTTTATAGTATTCTGATAATGGTCTTGGAAATAATGTGGGGAAGGACAGAAGAACAGGGGAAATAATGAGAAAAGAAATATTTTGTTACCTTGTTTGCTGTGGAGAAGAACAGGAGAACGTTCATCCCATTGACATTATTGGGTTGTTTGAAGTCTTTTCCATCTCATTCTCTGCTAACATGAAGGCAACTTTGAGTTGTGATCTGCCTCAGCCTTTTTTTATTATTATTCCTGAACTGAAAGGTGCTCTCATCATTCATATAAGAGAATCAGATCTTAGCTCTGCTGAACTTGAAATGGAACGTTGTGGCATGTTCCCCGTCATCTTATATCTCTTTTCCTTCCCACCAGGTTTGCCAGAAGTCAGGTGAGATCTCATTACTGAAGCAACAGCTGAAGGAGTCTCAGGCAGAGGTCGTGCAGCGGGGTAATGAGCTAGTGTTACTAAGGGCCCAACTGAGAGAAGCACGGGCTGAGCTGCAGACGAGTGAAGAACAGGCCTTGAGTTTGCAGGAGATGGCCCGTACCAAGGCAATGGAGTTAGAAGTATGTGACAATGAATTGGCCAGGCGCAAGAGTGAAGCTGAGCTGCTACGTGAGAAGGTAGGGCGGTTGGAGCACGAATTAGATGCCTTGCGCAGCACAAGTGGAGAACTCTGCCCCCTGTTGGCTGAATGTGATGAGGTAAAAGCTCAGCGACAAGCAGCGGATACCCTGCAGGGTTTGCGTGCACAAACTGAACGGCTGCGCACAGAGCTATTGTGTGAGCGGCGCCGTGGGGAGGAGCAACGGGAAGTTTTCCAGGCTGAGCGTATCACTTGGCAAAGTGAGAAGGACAGGGTCATCCGCTACCAGAAGCAACTGCAGCATAATTACATCCAGATGTATCGGCACAACCGCGACCTAGAGTGCCAATTACGCCATCTCAGTCTTGAACTTGAGGCCCGGGACATGGATGAATATGAGCTGCATGGAAGTGAAGGCATCTGCTTGGAGGAGATTGCAGCTACTGAGATCTGAACATGCTTGTGGAAGCCATAGTAAATGGGCCACACTGCCACAAAGGGATACTGGCCAGGCTGGAGTATGTTTCTCTGGGATTTTGTCTGACTGAGCAACTGAGAATACAGTGAGCCTCAGTTCAGTAGTGGAAAGAGATACCTTTCCAGTCATAAATCCCAGTGATAGAACTTGTTCCATCACTTAAACTTGGTCATGAACTCTCAGTAAGTCAGTAGTTTAAAGGCTATTAAAAATAGAATAGTGTGTGAAGTCAGGCAGCTTGTCTTAACTCTAGGAGGTATAGGAAGACCTGGTTAAAAGATTTCCTGGCCAATCTAGGAGAAGGAGAATCCAAATCCTTCCTTTGAAAGCAGCAGCAGCAGCCTTTATTCCAGAATTTCACTGGAAATGAAGCAGGGATAGCCTTTGCTTTTGGAAGAGGCTGTTAAATGCTGCTGCTTTTCAAGTCCCAGTGTTAATTGGCTTTCCATAACGACCTTGGGAATCACCGCTTGCCTCTTGCTCTTTGGGCTGGTGGGAGATGAGAGTAGCATGGATGGGAGTGCCAGGATTGTGTAGAGCACTTTTGCTTCTACTCTGCTCCTCTGTTACCTTTATGTAATGACCCAATGGGACGGTCAGCCACCATTTGCTGAATTGGGAGAGATTTGGCTGTTCAACAGCTAATTAGCTGCTAATCCAGTTAGATGCCGGTTTTAGGCTGGCTGAGGAAGCTTTGCCTATAGAAGGCTTTTCTTGGATTTTTTAGTCCACTTTTCTGCTCTTATGTGAAGTATATCTTTTTTTAAAGCCAAACACATAAATGCATACAATCAAAACCTGTACTATGGACCCTGTTACTGTACAGATGAAATACATTTGCATTTATTTCCTTTTTTGCACATGCATCCTGTAGTTATGAAGGCAAGGACCTTTGTAGGCAATTGTTTGGCCAATAGATGATGTGGGCCAAAGAATTGGGGATCTGGGCATTAGTCCAAGCTTATTTCTTTTTATAGGATAAAAATACTAATAAATTGTACTAGGTTCAAAGCTGATTCTCAGGATTCTAAATTCTGTTATTTTTAAAAGCCAAGAAAGAATTGCGGAACATATGTAGTCCTTTGGCTTCTCCCACATAAAGCTTTGTAGGAAGACCCTATGCTAAATTTCTTTTTAAAGGGAAAGGATATTGACTCCAGTGCTATAGAAACAGAGACCTAGTCTCTCTCTCTCTTTCCCTCTCCCCCCCACTCTCTCACCTTTCCCCCAAACATATTGCTGCATCTATATTATAGACTTACCTGAGAGTAAGAGTGTTCAACTCAGTGGGACTTGCTTCTCGATAGGCATGTATAAGAGTGTATTATAAAAGCCAAAGATACTTAAAACAGACTCAGGATCTATTTGGTTATCCCAGGAGCCTATCTCTAGATTATGGCACCAAAATTTGGCAGATAAAATGTTGAATTCAGTGTCACTAGATTTTGTGCGCTTATTTTACTTTTTTTTTAAATAAAAAAAAATCCAGAATATCCCTTCCCCTCAACCCCTCAAGCCAGCTCTATACCAAATATTTTGGCTCCACTCTTTCTGTTCCCATTACTTTATCATCACTGCCATCATCCCCCTTCTTGAAGGGTGAGTTTTAAAACAAACCTTAAGTAGAGCAAACCTATTTGGTGTGAGGGGATCTGGTGACTCTACTTCCTCTAATTTATCTTTTCTGTCCTTGGTTGGAATGCTACTCAGAGTGTCTTTCTCATGACCCTGACTGCCTGGATATGTCTCTCTCACCAGTCCCCTTCATCCAGCCTCTACCTGTTTGCCCAACAACATCCATGTCCTGTTTATTTGAGGATCAAAGATGGCTGAGTTTAAATCTCCTGCATTTCTCTGATAGTCTTGTTTCCGTCTACAATATCCTCTATATTTCCGGAAGCTCAGTTTCCCAGGCATCCTAATTCCCTTCCCATCATTTTTGCAAGATCTGGTCTAGTCTGAACCATGATCATTGTGAAGTCCTACAAATGTTTGCAGGACAGTCCATTCTGTTGGGGTACAGTAACTACTTGTCTACTTTTGTAATCTGTTCAGGACTAATTCCATACCAGAGTATGGTTCCTAGTCTGTGCAGCTGCCTCTCCTTTAAAGCTGTCCATGCATCTGTACTCAAATCAAGTTTATTGATTGCATTTGGATAGAATAACTTCAGTGGGTAACTCAGTCCAGACCTACTGTTGATTTCCTACCCTCATAGGCCAGTGACGACTGCAAGGAGCTCCTTTCAAAGAAAAGGAGTTCTGTTTGCAGAGGGTAATGTGGACCCACCCAGACTTCTACAAAGAAAAATGTAGGGGCTAGTAGATTGTTAATTGACGTCCTCTCTTTGTCTTCCAGTGTATGTTCAAGAGAAAAATGGTCAGTGAAACAGGGTAAATCAGAATTGAGGACTGCAGAAAAGCCATTCCCAAAGGAATTGGGCTGACAAAATAGCCAGTTAACTACAGACTGAAGTGCTCTCTTTCCTGAAGAGACATGAGACCTCTTTTCAGGCTAAGTAAACAAACTTCCTTGGGGTTAAAGAGGCTGCAGAGATTTGGATCAATGGGTTGAATAAAGGGCCCTCACAGCAGGTTTTATATTTTGGTTCCAACCCATGAGAATCAAACCAGACAGTGCAAGGCATGCTCACTAGGTCAGCTTGGTTAGATTTTGTTAACCTTTTTCCTCTGGCTATAAAAAGGTAAACTGCCCAGAATTGGTGCTTTGGCTGGGAAGCAGCCCAAGTGTAGCATACTGTAGTTTTGTCATCCTATTTAGGCCATTCCGGGAAGAATTGCCATATTGCTAGAATAGAGAGCAGCTGCTTTCTGCTAGCTTCATGTAACTTTTGCTTCAGGTCCTCTTGCTCTTCTTCATGCAAAAATGAACAGATAGAAAAATTTGTGAAGGGTGTAGCCCAGCTAGAGTTTGGGACTATTTGCAAGAGGATGGTGGCATTTAGCTACACTCTGAAAATTCTGTGCATTCCAAGAGAAGAGGCCATCTGAGTTCACTTCTGGACATTGTTCCCTTTTGCCCACTGTTACGAGAGCTTGCAAAATGGGTGTGTTGATACAACACCATTAGACCAAAGGAAAAGCTTGGTGCATGTCAGTTCTATAACTATTAGCAACCTATACCTCTCGCTTAACCCACTTTAAGCACCACTGTATATTTTTCTTTTACTTTATTTCTGAAATTGTATATTTTCCAGGTGGTGTAAATTTCTTGTACAAACCAAAACAAAAGTGTGAAATAAAAAAAAAACTAAGAAATTGTCTGTTTTCTTTTAAGAAAAAGTCACATGTAAATTTGATGGATGAAACGTGGAAGGATGAGTGAAACGTGGAAGGATGAGCAGAGGGTGGAATTGTCCTAATGATGGACAAAGGCAGAGATGAACATTTATAACTCAGAGTACGCTTAGTAATTTCTCATCCGTGCTCTTGTCCTTGGGTCTAAAAACAAAAACTGGGTCTAAATGAACTTCACCAGTATTGCATTTTTAACTTCCACTCTGGCTGGTGGTGGCATTTTGTAAATAGCTGACAATTGTTCCATATGAGAAAGATTCACCTGGAAATCAGCCAGTGTTGATCCCAATAGTTACTTTAGCTCAGAAGTAAGAAAACGATAACAATATACTTTAGTTAATCTTCTTAATTAGGTGATAACCAACACAATCTTTGAAGATCTGACTGTTTGATCTGGCTTTTAGAGAAGACCACAAAAGCGGTAATTTGATTTTTTTCATTCTATATTCCTTGCTGACTTTTATCATTGCAATCACTGAGAGTGGCTTTGAGGCTGGATGCAAAACTTTGTTTTCCTGGGTTTTCTTTTCGGGATCACTGCCAGTTTGTTATTCTCTCAACAATGGATTTAAGGAGATTCAAGTGAGAATATTATATCCAGAGTCTTGAATTTACAATCTGAGATTCTGGATTATTGTCTTTCAAACTTTATGGTTCACTTACAAATGCATGAGTGTAGGTAAATTTATTAAATTTAATGCTATGGTCCATTACTGAACCTGAATTAACAAATATCCCTCCAGTGATTAATATTGTCCTTTCTTTGTAGCCCTTTCCTTTTGGCTCCAATTAGCCAGAACTGGCTCCATCATCTGGGAGTGTCAACTGGGGTGGGTCGGAATATCAAAAATAGTATTTCCTTCACTGAGGTGCCAACTCATTTCAAAACAATTGCTCATAATGACAGCTGTCCACTTGCAACTAACTAGTTTTGGAAACAATACATGTTGCTTGACTTGGGCAATATGATCTTTGATCTTGCCTGTTCCTGTTCCAAGCAGGCCTCTCCAGAACTGGGAAATTATTGCTTGCTCCATTAAGCCTGAAAGCTTGCTGAGGGGCAGATACTTTAGTAACTCTGCTAGCAATTGGTTTCCCGGGAACCATATCTTTCTGAACAATAAGCAGGTATAGTTAAACAGATTCTTCATTAACAATCGCATCGCAGCGCTCGGATTGTTGAGCTGACTACATTCTTCAGCATTGACTGCTTGATTTGCAACGTTTATTTGAGTTTCTTCGGCACCTTCACCACAATCTCCATGGGCTCCTTAGCTTTGTTGCGGTAGGCTTGGCGGATTATGTCCACAGCTCGCTGGTGTGTTACATTCTGTAGACTTTCCCCTTCGATTGCAACCAGCTCATAGCCAGCCTGGCAAAAACAAAGAAAAGAAGAATGGGACAGAAATGAAAAATGGCAAAAGCACTGCAAATTGCAATTCTACTCTTTTCAGATGTGATGCGTCATCACTGATTACAGCTAGTCCTCGACTTACAACCATTTATTTAGTAATCTTTGAAGTAGAGCAGCACTGAAAAAGTGACTGACGACCACTTTTCACACTTATGACTATTGTAGCATCCTCACGGTCATGTGATCAAAATTTAGGCGCATGGCAATTGGCTTGTATGTATGACAGTTGCACCATCCTGGGGTCATGGGATTGCCATTTGTAACTTCCCCAGTTGGTTTCTGGCAAGCAAAGTAAATGGGGGAAGCCAAATTCGCTTAAATGACCGCATGATTCACTGCAAGTGATTTGTTTAACAACTATGGCAAAAAAAAAAAAATCGGGTTGTAAAATGGGGTAGAACTCACTCAACCGCCTTGCTTAGCAACCAAAATTTTGGACTTGGTGGTCATAAGCCAAGGACTATCTGTATATATTGGATATGCACATGGGAATTTTGAAGCTCTAATATTAGTGAATAGTTCAATAATACTGATAGCATTTCTGAACCTTCCAGTATTTCTATAGCAATTCAAAGAGAGACATAACTTTTGCACGTAGACACTTATTCTCAGTAAACCTTTGAAGGCTCCCCATTATCCTGAGTTTCTGCACTATTTTAAGTAGGTCATAGATCGTAACTGTTCTGCATGTCATTTTCATAATGGATGGATTACCCTCCAATGTTGTTGGTTGTTTTACATTCCCAACTGGAACACTACATCTTTCATAAGGGATTTTTAAAAATCCCTCCCAATATAATTGAATGGCAGAAAAATATTTTAAATATTTCAATGATGTAGAAATGGGTCCAGCAGACTCTTAAATTAGATCAAGATATATTGGCATTGCGGGTCACTAAGATCCCAAATTGGATCTTCTAACCTCTTCTCAACTCCTAATCTATACTCTTCACTTCAACCGCGGGTAAATAAGTAGGAAATTAAAGTTCAATGGCAGGGCTGTCAAACTCCCGGCCCATGGGCCGGATGCGTGATGCGCTGCCACGCCCACACCCGGTTTAGCAAAGGAAAAAGGTCCTGATGTGTCACATCCCTGGTCTATGGAGATTCTCAGTCATCCAGGTCATGGTTGTCCCAAAAGTGTTTTTTCAAGAGGCAACTGGACATTTTGGTTTTTCTTTGGTGATGTCTTGCTTCTCATGCAGATGTTTCGCTCTTATCTGGATGAGAAGAGAAACATCTTAAAAGAAAAACCAAAAAGTCCAGTTGCCCTCTTAAAAAAAGCACCTTTGGGATAGGAAATTAAGGGTTTTCTTAGTCTTAATTTCCATAAATTCCTTTATACATCTATTATTTCCGGAGCAAGCAGAAAAGACAACAGGGTTAAGGATTCTTGGAAATTGGCGAAATCCTGTTAGGTACAGGCCTTCATCAACTCAAACCCTGATGTTTCCATTCAGCTGCAAGTCTGAATTCACAGAATAATTGCATAAGCATTTACAGTCGGAAGCAAGAGGAAAGCTGCAAGAAGTGCCTGCAGCCGTTTTCTGTACTGCTGAGAATTTGCTCACAGATGCTAGAGGCTTGAAAAAAGGGTGGCAAGGCTTGAAACTGGGTTCAGGAATAGACTGGATACCTGTAAAGTCTCTAAAACACTAGCATTACATGACCATATTGGCCAGTTCCTGTTAATAAGTTAGAAACTCTGGGTTCTAGTGAAATTTTTGAACCGCAAAGGGGTTTCACCTGTGTTTTTACTAGTCACTCCCATTCTTATCTGCCCTAGCAACCTAAGACCATTTGGAGCTTTAATACAAATCAGCATAAACCAAACCTGTAACCCCTAAAGGAAAGAGGCCCCCAAACAGAGGCAAATCTAATTAGAGCAGCCTGGTGGGCGGGCTGGCCAGCCAAAGCCCACAATGGTTCTTTGTCAACCCCTGCTTCATTACAGAGGTCTTGGGAAATGTTGCACAGTGCCTTGAACTATGAGGGACCCTGAATGGCACAATGGGATGTGTATGTTGCCAGGCCTTTAGCTACAAAGCACAATGAGGTTTGTTTCGTGTAGGGTAGGAATCAGTTTAAATGAACAAAGTGGGCCAGGCTGTGGTATGAAAGAATGGCAAAGTCTTCAATGCGGTGAGAAGAAGGAGGGAAGATGGTCAATTGTCCTCGTTAGTCCTTCAGATCTGAATCTGCATAAAGCTTTCTTCATATTGTGATCATCTTCATCCTCATTCTTCAGGTCTCGGATAGTCTAGATCAGGGGTGTCCAACCTTTCACCTTCCCTGGGCCACATTAGAAGATGAAAATTTAGTTTGGGCCACACATAATTAAATTAAATAATAAATTAAATTAAATTAAATTAAATTAAATTATTATTTGTTATTTATTATTAATTATTTATTAAAAATTATTTATTTTTTATTTTATAATTTTCCAGCCAAATTTTACGGGGTGGGGGGGAGGGGGGGAAGAAAGCTCGCCCGCCTTGTGCCTACCTCTCCTCCTGCAAATTATTTATTTTTTATTAATTTTCCAGCCAAATTTTGCGGGGTGGGGGGGAGGGGGGGAAGAAAGCTCGCCCGCCTCACGCCTACCTCTCCTCCTGCAAATGCAGCAGCGGCGGCAGCGGTGGCGGGGGCAGAAGCAGCAGCGGCGGCGGGGGGGGCAGAAGCAGCAGCAGCGGCGGGGGGGCAGAAGCAGCAGCGGCGGCAGCGGAAGCAGCAGCGGCGGCGGCGGCAACAGCAGGAGGTGGCGGGGCAGGACTTTTGGGCTGCGGCTGCCCGCCTTTTCTGTTGCTCGCCTCGCCCCGCCTCGCGCCTGCCTCTCCTCCTCCTCCTCGCTGGATCTTTCATGAAGGTTGGGGTGGGCGTTGGGCCGCATTACGAGGCGACCTGGGCCGCATGCGGCCCATGGGCCGCGGGTTGGACAAGCCTGGTCTAGATAGTCCATATTTGTTGTGATTACAGTATGGAAATTATCTCAGACTGAATAATCAAAATAAAGATGGCAAGTTGTAGAGTCACTTTAAACCAGGGTTGTCAAACTCATGGCCCACATGCCGAATGCTGGCCATGCCCCACGCCCCATTTAGCAAAGGGGAAGAAAGTCCTGATACGTCATGTGATGCTGCTGTGATACCGCGAGTTTGACACTCCTGCTCTAAACTCTACTAAATTGATCCCTCAGAAATCAGTTGCTTCAGAAACAGAGTTTCTGAAGCAATTGATTTATGCAATTAATTATTGCATAATACTGTTATTCATTTATTGATTAAAATTATTTTGAAAGGAAATGAACTATGCAACACTTGGAGAAACTCAAGTCTGTTACTGTAAGTTCACAAGCAGGTGATTAAAAATATAATTACTAAATTATGTGCAAGACTTAAACCTGAGTGATGGGTTTAAGTCCTATATAAAATGAATAGCTAAGATCAATGGGATGTTGATCATGGTCTTAGAGCATTTGATTAAGTTGCTGAAGAAGCAAACAAGGGGCATCTGGACCTCCTATTTGTCCATCTAGTAGCAATGAGAGATCCCCATGTCCCCCTCCCTACTGCTTTAGCTACCTCCAGTTCTCCACTCAGGGATGCTGCTCCCCCAGGAAATATCTTCTCAATCTTCACCATTGGCTGCAATCTGGATTCTATTCCTCCTGAAATGCTGATGCCTGGAAAACAAGACAGTGCTGTTAGTATTTAGGAAATGGTGCCATGTTTGAGCTTGCGCAAATCCATCTTAAAAATACAATTACACCAGTCTTAAGAGAAAGCACCCTGCACATCAAACTTGGCTACTGATGACTTCACCATCAAGCCTGCATAGATTTATTTTTTTTGCAACAATATGGAAATAGTTTGTCACTGTCTTCTTCCAGGATGTTTTTTTAACATATTCTGATCTGGGATTTCCTGGTAGTCTCTCAAACAAGTACTACTCAGGTCAGACTCTGTTTCCTTATGAGACAGCTGTCAAGGTCAGAGTAATGTGTAGTTTAAAAGGGTTCTGTACTAATCAGCAATCTAATTTCTTCCAACCGGTTTGACAAGTGCAATCTAATTGACACTACACCATTTAGTATATTTCTCCATAACCTTTTACTCTGATAAACTTACTTTTACTATATTCTATAGACCGTTTCATACCTCTCTCTCTTCTTCATGATCTCATTAGCTCCATCCAATTATGCTTCTTCAATCTTCTACTTGCTCTTATCTTATTGACTCATTATACATTTTTCCCAAATCAATCCTCATTCATTCCCTTTATAAGACCAACTCAAAGTTCTTTTATACTCAAGTCTCACTTTTGTATTAAGTCCACAATCATTAAGTCACCCATTCATTTTTGGCCCTATCCTTGCTTATCACACTTATTCAGTAACCCATATTCACTGTGTTCCAGTTTTGTTTTTTTTCTGACATGCTCAACTCTTTATTTCTGCAAATAGGCCCAAGCACCCTTATATACAGTTTGCATCATCATACTTTATCTACTTGTTCTAATTTTTCATCTTTGTGCATAGCTTGCAATTGTTCGTTTTAGACTAGCTGATCTGTGATACATTCATTTTCAGTTCTATAGTACTCATTGCTTCATACTGTAATTTTTTGCAAATCTTTTGGATTATCAATCCACACAACATCAAGTCTACACAGAAAGGTACACATTTACTTTATTTCTATCATAATGCATTCACCACTGTCCACAGTCATTGTTCAATTCCATTCCTTCCTTCCCTTTCATAACTTAAGACATTATCAAAACATTCTTATTATGCAATAATACCTCATATTATATTTTCTAATACTAATATATGTATTATCTCATACATATATTTTCCAGTCAATGGCTGAAGACCATAAATCTGGTCTGCACACCCCTTGCCTAACACAAATTTTATTGTGTTACTCAAACTCTTTTGAGTAGAATTTACCAATTCTCCCCAGATATACTTTTAAAAAAATAATCCTGGTATCATTTTTACATTCATTTTTTAACCCTTTGCTTTCTATAAGGGAACAGCATTCCTCTTACTTGGATGCAAGCTTCAAACATATATTAAACAAACCACACAGACTTTCTATAACCAGGCCCCATCCGTATTTTGACATTACTCCTATTAACATCTGCAGCCTTACAATTTTTAAAACATGCTCCCTATAATTACGGTATTACTTGTCACTTTTTAAAGACCAACCTTTATAGTATTTATTTCAATTGCATTCTTCAGCATATCCCAATCCCATACTCTAAAATAATTCACAGTCTCCAAAATGATTCTTCTAGCATTCCCAGTATCAACTTCTACCCCAATCATTTTATCACTTTTATTCTTAATTCTATTCACTCATTTTCAGCCGATTCTGAAGGTTTTTGAAAAGTTCAGGCAAAATAGCTTTACATGCTCTCTAGTTCAGGGGTCTCTAAGTTTTCTGGTTTTGTGGACTGGTGAAGGGGGAGTGGAGGGGGAGGGTTCCACGCAAGCAGCAGGTGCATGTACTTATACGTGCAACTCCATTTGCAAGTGGCAGGTGTGCAAGCCCTCTACTTGCACAAATGGAGCTTCACATGTTAACCACCTGCTGCTCACATAAATGGGAGCTTCCTGCATGAGCACCTGCCACTTGTGCAAATGGAGCTGTGTGCGCTTTGTGTGTTCACTTGCCTCTTGCATAGCCCAGTTTCCAAACTGGACAAAGCCCAGAGATTGGGGATTCCCTGCACTCTTTTGTTTAGTCTTAAGCATTACTTGCTCTCTTCGATTACATTCTTACTATCTTTTTCTCTCTATAAGCATTGCACAATCCCACTGTCCCGTCCCTCACCCCTAGTTATTCTGTTTATCTGATTAGGTAAATAAATATGGATTTATTATTAAAGTTCATTTGCACTACAATTATTTTTCTATTGATTTATTTTTAAATTTTTCCCATTTTTCTATTTATGACATATACACTTCTTACATGATCATGATACCATCCAGTATTAGAGTAAAATAATATTTAATGTTTCTTCCGGTTACTGCACCTCCTTTTTCCTCACAGGATGGCTCAATGGGGTTACTAGGCTGCCCGGTATTCCTTATACAAAATTCCACATGCCTCTGTTATCCTTTTGTAAACTTTTTTACACTTTGTCCCAGCAATCTCCACATTGCTTTTCCTTACATCCACTTCCCATGTGTTTGTATCTTCTCATACTTTCTCATCAGAAGAGTCACACTTTCTCTCCCTGAAGCTGTTTTACTTTCACTCTACTTTCATTCTTTCCTTTTCTTCCCTGTTCATTTTTCCCCACAATCCATCTTTGACTACTAAAGAAGTACTGCTCAAGTTATTCTGGCACATGAGGCAGAAAAGCAAAGAAGTCCCTGAAAAGTAAAAACAAATGCACTTGTTACCAGTGTCATAGCTCACAATTTGCTACCCATTCATGACACTAAGTGTGATTTGCTGAGGCTCGTCACTCTGCCTAGCAATAGGTCTGTTTCTCTCCATTTCAATTTAGAGATCTCTTCTTACCCAGAGATTGCTTGTTCTTGGATAGGCTGACAGTCACCAGTTCATATTCCTCCGCTTCCTTGTCATTGGGGCCATTTTGGAGCAGGTTCGCTGGGATCTCATCTCCCATTTCTGCTTGCATTACCTGGCCAGTAGCTGAGGTTTCCTTGAAGAGCTGTGAGAGCAGGGGCCTAGCTCTCCGCGGTCGATTAATAACAGAATAGAGGGTATCACTGGCAGGCATGATTTCCCCGTGTGGTCCCCATGCTACAGCCTGTCTATGGCTCGATTTTGAAGAAGGAGGCCTCTCTCTGCCAGGTTGTCCATCTCCATGCTGCAGGGATTGTACCTGAGAGGATACAGTGTGTAGGGAGCTCGTTGAGGATTTTGTAGGTTTAGTTAGACTCCAATGGGGTTCTTTGCCACTGCTCACTGAGGAAGAAACCCTGTTGGGAATATAGGAATCCACTGGCACATCAGCAAGAGGAGTATAGTTTTGAGGTTGAGTCTGTCCACGTCTGGGAGAGAGCTGCAGCCTTTCCATGGCATCCTTCAGTATCTCGTGTTCCTCCTCCCCATTTGCCTTATTGGTCATCACTGGTTTCAGAAGAAAACTACCCCTGAAATCTGTAACCAGATTCACAAGATAAGATAATTATCATTTCCTTTTTCTCTCAATATTATGAAAATTACAGAGGGGAACTTGTCCAGTATCTGCTGCTTGAAATGAGTGCTTCGGTTGTGTAAGTCTTGGAGTGAAAATTTGGCTACAGGTATTGGACATATAAGCATGTTGCCGTATGTGTGTGTGTGTGCTAGTTCTCCCCTAACTAATCAAATTCAGATCACCTCCCTCGTAACTTATTTGGTAGGTAGTACTGCCAGCTTATACCCAATATTGCCAAACGTACTTCAATTCAACAGTATTTCTGTCAAATTAATTGTTCTTTGAATTATTTTTAAGTGGCAGAGTCACATTGTTCAGATCTCCCATCTTTTTATTTTATAAATCAGTTATTAAAAAAAAACCTGCTCAAACAAATAAAGGGAACACTTAAACAACACAAGTCAATCACACTTCTGTGAAATCAAACTGTCCACTTAGGCAGCAACACTGATTGACAATCAATTTCACTTGCTGTTGTGCAAACGGAATAGACAACAGGGGGAAAGCATAGGCAGTTAGCAAGACCACAGACCACTTCTCAGTTCCTATGCTTTCTGGCTGATGGTTTGGTCACTTTTGAATGCTGGCAGTGCTTTCACTCTAGTGGTAGCATGAGATCGAGTCTACAACCCACACAAGTGGCTCAGGTAGTGCAGCTCATCTAGGATGGCACATCAATGCAAGCTGTGGCAAGAAGGTTTGCTGTGTCTGTCAGCGTAGTGTCCAGAGCCTGGAGGCGCTACCAGGAGACAGGCCAGTACATCAGGAGAGGTGGAGGAGGCCATAGGAGGGCAACAACCCAGCATTAGGACCGATACCTCTGCCTATGTGCAAGGAGGGACAGGAGCACTGCCAGAGCCCTGCAAAATGACCTCCAGCGGGCCACAAATGTACATGTGGCTTCTCAAACAGCCAGAAACAGACTCCATGAGGGTGGTATGAGGGCCCGATGTCCACAGGTGGAGGGACATTTGGCATTTACCAGAGAGCACCAAGATTGACAAATTTGCCACTGGCGCCCTGTGCTCTGCACAGATGAAAGCAGGTTCATGTGACAGACGTGACAGGGTCTGGAGACACCGTGGAGAACGTTCTGCTGCCTGCAACATCCTCCAGCATGACCGATTTGGCAGTGGGTCAGTAATGGTGTGGGGTGGCATTTCTTTAGAAGGCCGCACAGACCTCCATGTGCTCGCCAGAGGTAGCCTGACTGCCATTAGGTACTGAGATGAGATCCTCAGATCCCTTATGAGACCATATGCTGGTGCGGTTGGCCCTGGGTTCCTCCTAATGCACGACAATGCTAGGCCTCATGTGGCTGGAGTGTGTCAGCAGTTCCTGCAAGACGAAGACATTGATGCTATGGACAGGCCCGCCCGTTCCCCAGACCTGAATCCAATTGAGCACATCTGGGACATCATGTCTTGCTCCATCCACTAACGCCACGTTGCACCACAGACTGTCCAGGAGTTGGGGGCTGCTTTAGTCCAGGTGTGGGAGGAGATCCCTCAGGAGACCATCCGCCACCTCATCAGGAGCATGCCCAGGCATTGTAGGGAGGTCATACAGGCACGTGGAGGTCACACACACTACTGAGCCTCATTTTGACTTGTTTTAAGGACATTACATCAAAGTTGGATCAGCCTGTAGTGTTTTCTTCCACTTTAATTTTGAGTGTAACTCCAAATCCAGACCTCCATGGGTTGCTAAATTTGATTTCCATTGACAATTTTTGTGTGATTTCGTTGTCAGCACATTCAACTATGTAATGAACAAAGTATTTAATAAGAATATTTCATTCATTCAGATCTAGGATGTCTTATTTTTGTGTTCCCTTTATTTTTTGAGCAGTGTATTATCCTGCATACATACAAATGCAGCATCTGATATGAAGTGTACACATTTAAAGTTGTAGACATACATTACATCTGTATAATTTTCTTCAAATCTAGAATTCAAACTCTTGTGTTACAATTATAGGTTAACTGGCTTGAAGGACAGGAAAGTAAAAAGGAAGTAACAGAAAAACTCACCAGGCACTGGAGTGATAAGATGCCTCTTTGGGGGTGTTTCATGCTGTGCTGGACGGAGGGCAGGCGATCTCACTGTAGACACAGAGAAAAAAAGAGCATTAAGCTTTTCAAAATGTGCTTATAGATGCTCCCCATTCAATATTACGTAGATCCAGTACTAAGGCCCTGCAAGTTCCAACTATGGCAGTGGTTGAAGAATGGATATTTAACTTTCCCTGTCTTTGATCACCATTCTATATAGACTTGGCTTGATATTACAACTGTTTATCCTAAAGGGAATCACAATTGCAGGGAAGAAAAAGAAGAAGAAGCATGTTCCCATTTTTCAAAGATGAAGGAGGGAAATGCAGTAGATACAGATCCCAAAGGGCAAAGTGTTAAAAGGAGAGGGAGCTGTGTGCCCCATATACTGCCATCTCCTCCTTTAGTTGTGCTGTGAAACTGTTGAAGAAAGATTTGATGTTAATTTGACTGATAGGGAGAAGGAGATGGACACTGTTTACTTATTTGCCTCATGTAGGCAAAAGGCTTGTGGCTGCACTGCCAATCCAGACATGTGAAGGAATCTTTTCTACCATGTATATCCATCCATTTTATTTTATTTTATTTTTGTGCTATCTTTGATGGATGAGTTTTATTTGGCTGTTTTCAATTTGTTTTAAGTATTGCCATCCACCCAGAGAATTTTTTTTTATAAGATATCAACTTTTTAAAAAGCCCTATATCCTAAAGTAGATAATCCTGAAATAACAGTCAATCCACAATATAAATAAACCCTGGGAGACGATGAACGCAATTCTTACAAACTCCTTTGCCTGTTCTGCTCTTGAGTGCATCATAGGCTTCCGTTTCCAGGGGCACAACCATACTGTCAAAGCGGCCAAGATCTGTAGAGGCAATCACATTTCTGGAAAAGAGGAAGAAAATCCCAGATCAGTGATCTGTAATGCAGGTCATGAGTACAAATAGAGGTGTTTCTAAGGGCAAACAACCACAATTTTAAGGAGCCCATATATAACATCATTCCATTATAGCAAGGGTCCTCAAACTTGTCAACTTTTAAGACTTGTGGACTTCAACTCCCAGAATTCCTCAGCCAGCAAAGTTGAAGTCCACAAGTCTTAAAGTTGACAAGTTTGGAGACCTCTGCGATTATAGTTTCATAATTGTAAGAGTACATATTCCATAACCTACAGCTGCTAAGGGTCATGTTGCCTAAGATAAGGTCTGCAGGCATTGTAGTCCAACACATTAAGAAGGTAGCTGTTTGGGGAAGAATATTAAATTGCTGAAAGAATCACAGCAATAGTTGTATCCTAAACATGTCCTTTAATGCTCTCGCTCTCTCTCTCTCTCTCTCTGTGTGTGTGTGTGTGTGTGTGTATGTAATTTATTCACACACACACACACACACACACACACACACACACAATATTCATAAACTCAAGGCAGGGCTTTCTCTCATTTTACTCTCAGGGCAACCATTCTGGTGAGTTATATTTAGCTGAGAAGGAACAGCTGCCCCAAAGTTACTTTGTGAGCTCTGTGGCTGGACTGGATCTCAACCTGGGTCTCTGAGCCATTCCAAAACTGTTAAACTGCTCTGGATACCTGACTATTCTTACCTGATATCTCGGAGAAGCAGCAACTTCTCAGGGCGATCAAGAATTGCCAGCAGTGGCCTCACCAGGTCTTCTACTCCACCTTCTTGGATGTACTTTATGAGGGAAAAATGATCAACATCAAATATAGAATCGATGCTTAATTTGGTGATTCTGGTTTGGGAATTGTGTGAACAGCCTACTCCCCACTCCACAACCATTTCTGTTGCCCTATCATTCATGTGATGGCCACCTGTGTCACTTATGCTCCCCATGTAATAGTTCATCTTCAAGAATTCAGGGAATATAGAATTCCCACAGGCATTTTAAGGGGAAAACATTAACTCTATTAATAGAGACCAGTTAAAGCATTAAATATAGAATTGTCTAGTTGTCTTTTCCCTTCATTCTCTTTCATGTTTTATGAATTTTGAAAACTAGTGTCTTCCAATAACTTCCTACCGGCACTCTGGACATAAATTTCTACTGTGCATTGGTTCAAAGCTCCCTCTAATGGCTGTTCTATAGATGATGAGAAATGGGAGATGTCAGTAGTTTAAATGAAATTTCTCTAACCTGATCCTCACCCCATGTATTTGCTTAAAGGCCAAATTAGGATGGGAATTCTGGAATCTTCCCTGGAGGGAACAAGGTTGTGAAAAGCTAGTTTATCCTGGTGGAAATCAATACTGCCATTTGATTGGCAGAGTTGCTAATCTGAACAAAACCTAAAATTTTCAGAGAAGTATATTCGCTTTCATTACATACCTATTACGTGGAATTTGACAATTAGACAACATAAATGTGTTATCCATGCCTTAACTATGGCCAAAAGACTAATATCACAGCTTTGGAAATAAAAATGTGCCCTCATTTATTCAGTGAATATAAAAACAGATTACGCTATAAGTGGATTGCCTATAGACAGACTTTGTACAGGCATAATGAAACATGAAACTCATTTATACAAAATATAACAAGTTAAAAGGAGATAGTTATGTAAATGTATTATAAATAAATATATATACATTTGAATAATATTTATATTTGGTAAGTATGTTAATTATTAAAGCAATATATTTTGTTTCTTTTTCACTTTTTAAAAAACACTTTTTTTGTGTTGCCTTTTTTCTTGAGAATGCATGTATTTGCACCATAATTGTTTTGCTCTTGTTCTTTTACTACTTAATTTAAATAAAAAAATATTTTTAAAAAAGTTTTGCTAATTTAAGGCATTCTGCACTAAGGCATCCCCACACTATGCAAGTATGTATGTGCGTAGATGTTTATACTGTATTTATAAAACAAGGGGCTCAGGGTGAATTATCTCAAGTACAAGAAAGCAAGCCAACTGATACTGTTCTACAAGAAAATGTAAAAAATAGAACATTCAGTTAAAGTTTTACAACGGTGGTAGTTCAGCACAATTAGAGGACAGTACTTGGAAGGCTGCTGAAAGCCACTGCATGATATTCAAATCAAAACCCCTTGGCATGCATGAGGGATGCTCCTTACTCGGGTGCAGTGTCGCAATACAGCTGCCACTTCATCTTCCATCAGCAGCTTCCTGGCCATGTCCTCAATGAGCAGCAGGTGGCTGTCGATAGTTTTGCTGGGCTCACTGCCACTGTGTTTGTCAAATGCCTTGGAGCTCAGAGACGCGAAGGACTGGCCTTTTTCTGGAGAGGGTGACCAAAGAAGGTCAAGGAGTATACATTTTATCAGTACTGAACAAAACACGTTGGCCCTGCTCAAACTCAGAAGCCCACAGCTACAAGTCACATGCATGTCTGACTAAGCTGCCAGATTTCTGCATGCAATTTCCAATAACCTTCTCACAAGAAATCGTCTCGTGAAAGATTATTGGAGCACAGGATATGGCTACTGATATGGGATGGAATGATGCCATTTCAGTTTTGCAAGCCAGCATGAAAAAAAACCAGGATCCTAATGTACTGCCTGTGCCCTTACAAAATTGTGTGAAGGATTCAGGACAATTGTGAAGCTCATCTAAATTGTGAAGCCCTTCCGGAATTATCCTCAAGTAAGGGTTACTTATAATGATTCGGCTACCAGAGGAAAGCTGCATTTGTCTATTGCAGAAAAAAACAACAATGACAAGTCTTGTCATGGAAGATGAACAAATATGGTTTGCAAACTAATGAAATTATAACAAGTGTGACCTTAGATCACCTAATTCTTACATTATAATAAATTGATAGCATATGCTTTGGTGTACAGATTATTTTAATTTATACTCTTCCCTTCCCTCAATGATTATGGAAAGGCAATGTCTAAGAAAGTAAACAACAAATGTTGAATTTGCACCTAGCATCCCATATTGTCAAGCACACATATGAATACAATGCAAAGTACATGCTGCACTCCTGTTCATTTACCCCGTTTCAGAGTCCTGTTCACAAGTTGCTGGATAATGTTAACTGCAGGTTAAGGGTAGTGGGACAAAGACCAACAGCAAAGGGATTATGAATCTAATGAAGAAAGTGAAAGAGCAGAGACTGGCATAGAGCTACTATACTGTACTATATATCATAGCTCCATGAAAAATATATAGCCAATAGTGTTTCCTGAATCCTTGGAGAAATCTGGTTGTCCAGATTTTTGCAGCTCAGATCTAATAGCCCCTGGAGTGCAGTTAATTCTGAGCTAGCTTCTAGAACAGAGAATCTCAACCTTGGCAACTTACTTATTGTATTTATTTATTTTATTTTATTTGGTTTGTCAATTGCTTACAAGATAATAGGTATAAGTAAAAGCATAGTTATGAATACATGGATACATATAAGAAAAATAAAAGAAACAATAGGACAGGGACGGTAGGCACGTTGGTGCGCTTATGCACGCCCCCTACAGACCTCTTAGGAAAGGGGTGAGGTCAATAGTAGGCAGTCTAAGGTTAAAGTTTTATGGGGTTTGGGGAAGAAACCACAGAGTCAGGTAGAGTATTCCAGACATTGACCACTCTGTTGCTGAAGTTGTATTTCCTGCAATCAAGTTTGGTGCGGTTAACCTTGAGTTTGTATCTATTGTTTGCTCTTGTATTGTTATGGTTGAACTTGAAGAGGTGTATACCTCGTCTCCCAGAATTCTCCCTCTTCAAGTTGCTAAGGTTGAGAAATGCTACTCGGGGCAAATGTGATATTTGCCTCTCATTTTTGCATTCTTTTTGCAAATGATGCTTGTAAGTCTGAATTTTTTTACTGCCACCAATTGCATCAGAAGTCCAAGGAAAGCAGTTCTACTATGGAAAGCAGAGTACAATTTGTCAAGATATCTTCTCTCACGTTTGCATGAGTTAAACGAAAAATATTTGAATAGGATTTTAGTACCTTTCTCCAGACACGATTAACAGTTTATTTGTATACCAAGACCTATTGATCCAAAGCCTCCAGTGCTTACTTTAGCTCTTTACAAAATTTGAAAACTGAACCCTGAAAACCCTCCGGGGTTCGTAGAGTCTATGACATGAAAAACTCCCTATTCTTGGCTATTTGTTTAAAAAGCTCGCTTTTTATTACCTTTCTCTCCTTCAGACTGGGCAGGTAATTTGGACTTCCTCTGTGATTCCAGGGATCCAGTTGTTGAGCTTGGCCTCCCTAGTCGGGTGCTCTTAAAGAATAGGTTCATCAGGGTTTTGGACCGCTGGAGAGTGACTTTCTTCTCTGATGATACCAGCTTCCCTTTCTTTCTTTGATGCTTTTCCTCTGGGGGAAAAAAAAATCCAGGAAATCAAATCAGATGATCACAAGTATAGGAAGAACATGAAATCTGGGCCTTCAGGGCACTATCATTTCAACAAACTATTATAGCTACCATTTTGAAAGGTTTTCAGAAAAATTGGTGTGTGTGTGTGTGTGTGCATGTGTGTGTATGTGAGGGGAGGGGAGGGAGGGAGTGAGAGAGGGAAAGAGAGAATAATAAATTACCGTATTTATCGGCGTATAACACGCACTTTTCCCCCCCTGAAAATAGGGGGCAAATGATGTATGCGTGTTATACGCCGATATAATGTTAAGAAGCCTTCGGTGAATGCTGCTGGGATCGGGGATCAAGGACACAAATGAAAGAAGGGGAGGGAGGAAGCAACCGAAGCCTGTCCTTCTCTCTGGGTCAGCTCTCTCAGTCGCTCTCTCGCTCCTCCACCAGCACAGGAAGAAACTGCTTCAAAGAAGCGGGGGGGGGGCTTTTCCTGTCGCCGCAGCTTCCCTGAAGCGCCCGTTTCTCCCCCACCCCCACCCCGTCCGCCCGCCCGCCCGCCCGCCCGCAGTGCTCCGTTCTGCCTGCCTGCCTGCCTTCGTTAATGGTTGAATCGGAACAGCTTCGGCTGAGTAAAAGAGGCGAATAGTTATTATTCTCAGCCGAAGCTGCTCCCAAACAACCAGAAACTAAGGCAGGCAGGCAGGCAGGCAGAATGGGACACTGTGGATTGAGATGCGTGTTATACGCCTGTGCGTGTTATACGCCGATAAATACGGTAGTAATAGAGCCAAATAGTAATTGAATGCTTACGTGGTATTGCCTTACAAATAATCTATCATTGTAAATATAAAATGGAGGTAGACATAATGGCTTAGTGACACATACCACAGATGGTCAGATAGCTCTGTGATCGCTTAATGGGCTGACGGGGATGGCTGAGTGCTAGAAGGAGAGCCATTTTTGGGGATGGCTCTGTGATTTCCTTGCTAACAAATGGCTGGTGCTTCCTTAGGTGGAAAGGCTCTTTGAGACTTTCCGTGCGAATGGCCGTGTCTTTTAGGATTTTCATGGGCTGCACAATCCTCTGGGTCTCCGAGATCAGGCTCCCTGAAAAGAAGGCCCCATCAGGCAATGGTTCTGTCTGCATAGCGGTCTCTGCCCTCTGTGACAAAGGGCCCTGAACTGGCAACTCTGTGGAGATGCCAACATCAATCATGCAACTTTCAGCTAAGCTGGGAATTGGGGCCATAAATAGTCCATTCATGGAGCTTAAGGGGGTCCCTGAGGAATAGGATGACATGGATGAGCTGGATTCAGAGGTTTGGGACAGCTGCTGCAATTGGCCATTGGTCACTGCAAAAAGAAGAAGAAGAAGAAGTTAGCTGTTAGGAGGACTTCAATATACAACATACATTTTGTATTGTTGCACATTGTATACATATTTCATGTATTTCATTAATTTCCCAGCACTCAAGGTGCTATATTTTGCATGAGGAAAAAAAATATTTCCCCAGATAATGCAAGTATTGCTATTACTACTGATGCATTCAGGATGCTATGTGAGTGCCATTAATATCTACATGGTATTGTAGAATATTTTGATTTTAATAACTATCATATAGGTATCTAATCTATGTATTTATATTTCTCATTATCTATCATCTCTATCTCTATCTATCTCTATATCTATCTATCTATCTATCTATCTATCTATCTATCTATCTATCTATCTATCTATCATCTATCCATCTATCTATCTATCTCTCATCAGTTTGCATATTACCTCAATCACAGAGACAGTTTTAGATATTAGGATAAAAACTATAACATAAAAATATAAATATCCACTGATATCCACTGATATACTGATCCTTAATATTGCAAGGATGTCTTTAGGTTAAAGAACCTAATGGGATGTGATAGCTGGCCACCATAAATATCTGTGCAACACAGCACTTGTTCTTGGGTTCATGTGTATTCTTAAAGTGGCACAATTTATGTACAAGGAGAGCAAAAGAATGTTTTCTGAAATTCCAAGAATGAAATAAATTTGCAGATTGATTTGCATTCCTTATTCTTCCTTAACAAAACAATACCCTCTCAAGAAAAGATGCCTTACATCTGTTGAGCCAGCAGTACTCAGCCACCATTTCCTTGTATGCTGGGAATCTCCCTGTTTCCTAGAAGGGAGGGATAGAAGAGATGCAATATGTCATGGGGTCATTTGCTGCCTGAGAAGCAACACATGAAAGTTTAAGAAACAATCCCAGTGGTTGATAAATGTTTGCCCCATGGCTAGGTCCTTTTCTGTATGAAATTGGATCTGCTATGTTTGAAATTCTAAGTCCCAGAGCAACTTAAGGAGGGAATTACTTGGCAAAAGAAATTCCGGGAAATTTGGGGTCAGAATGGCATACTAGAAAGCTTAGCTGGGTGAGATGGTTGGTCTGCACCTACCCAAAACTGAGGAAGTTGTATCTCCTCCTAGCAACTATCATTTCTTTAATAACAATGGCAGTCTTGAGGGTGGGATATAATTTGGATAATCTTAGTCCTTCTATTATTAATACCCCTTACTATAACTTTTTTTTGACTCATACGTGGAAAGACATCAGCCTCACCTTAATGGTCAACATGATGTGGGTCTGCCCCTTTAGCACTTCCACTGCCCTGCTATGGCTGATGTTATCAAACTTGACTCCATTGGCTGCAAGGACTTGGTCACCAACTTTGATCCCATGTTGCTCAGCCAGCCCGCCAGGATCCACTCTGGGAATGATACAACATCGAACAAGCACAAGGGGGGCATTTGAAAGAAAGATCAGGCTTTTCCTGAGCAAACAAGGTAGGAGCAGAAGAAAATGGCACATTTTAAGAATGGGACAGAGAGCAACAAAGTTGGAAAGAAATAAAATGTCTACGGTAAAAATGGGAAGGCAAATTCCACTAGGTCAGGTTTTCTCACAGCATTCCACCAATCTTGGTGTCAGTATTCAATGAATAAAATTATTTTTCAGTCTTGTATTCTCCAGATATATTGGACAATGACTGAAATCTCCCACTGTAAATAATTAGGAATAATGTGAGTTGTAATTCAGCACATCAGTTGAGCATACATAAGGCTACATCACAGCCTGCACATTTTTTCCAACAATCAGTCTGGGAGGCAGCAAATATTTATTTCTGATAAATGTCCTAATATTCAATATTTTATTGTGCAGAAAATGACATGCTTTAAGTTAATGATAGAAGATTTGGATAAATAAAATTCAAGCTCATACAGTGCAGAATATCATTAGATTCCAAATTGTATCAGACTATGAGCTATGTGCTTATAGATGTGTCTTCCCATCCCTGACCACAAGGATGTGATTAGGAAACCAAAAGAACATACAGTTCCTCTTGAAGAAATTGGGCTGAAAGAAAACCAAAGGATAAAGCTTTATGGGGTTAGGGTGGCCTGTGCTAACGCTGTAGATATATTATTATTATTATGGATTAAGCGATTATACTGATCATCATAATGTCTATCTAACTTTTCTACCCTCCCCTAAAGGGTGATTTTTATATTCTAAATTAATTATAAGGGGGGGGAGCCTTAACCCAAATCTGTAATTGCAATGGCAGTCATGATCATGTTTTCAGTGTTTTGTTCCCTCTGAAGTCCCAATTTGGACCATCCCCCAGCATGCTTACTATTGGCAAAGACTGAGCATCTCCCATTGAAACTAAACAGAGTCTGAAGTTGTGGGGGGGTGTCTATAAATTCAACCTCTAATTAACCGATTTAGATCTTGGGACTGCTAATTTGCAATAGGCAATTCACTTCCCTGAAAAGGAAACTTCACAGTTAAAGTGAAATTTGAATCTAAGTCCAGATGTTATCTTGATCTAAAATACGCAACAGCAGAAGGCTCTAGGAAGAGCAAGACTCACTTGGAGACATAGATGCCAAGGCCATACTCCTTCCCTCCACGGATATTGAAACCCAAGCAATAATCATCAGATGTGGTGTAGAGATGGACGATGTGTCTCCTTCCTATTTCAGAGCTGGTATTAGAGGGACTTGAGCCACTCCTCTCCACAACCAAGCGCCTGTTTACCACATCAACCCTGCAAGAGGTAAAGAATGAAGAAATAATTTATCCTAAGCAGCTGAGGTCTTTGAAAAGGCCTGCAAATTGCCCTTTCACCACTTTGATAGATAGCTCATTCCAGCTTGTGGATATTATTTTCAATCAAGGCTGATCAAAATGCATGAGCATGGCTGTTGTTGAGGTAATTCCCCGTTAGGAGAATGAGCGTATACAGGGAGACGTATTTGAGAGAAGTGTTTGAATAATACACACACAGCACACAGATACACTGTACAGCAGTGGTCCCCAACCTTTTTTGTACCAGGGACCAGTTTCAAGCACAAACACTTTTTCAAGGGCCGAGGCGCTCCCTGAACTTGGTGGTTTGCTTGCAGACGTTTCATTACCTGACTAGGTAACATCTGATGTTGTTACCTAGTCAGGTAATAAAACGTCTGCCAGCAAACCACCAAGTTCAGGGAGCGCCTCGGCCCTGCCTCCCTCAGCCCCATCCCTCAGGTGTCTCCCTCCCTCCCTCAGGTGTCTGCCTCGTTCCTCTCTCAGTCGCTCTCTCGCTGCTCCACCAGCCCAGGAAGAAACTGCTTCAAAGAAGCCGGGGTGGTGGTGGCTTTTCCTGTCGCCGCAGCTCCTCCGAAGTGCCCGTTTACCCCCACCCCGCCCGCCCGTGCGCGCTTCAATTCAGTGCTCCGTTCTGCCTGCCTGCCTGTCTGCCTTCGTTTCGGAGCAGCTTCGGCTGATAAAAAGAGGCGAATAGTTATTATTCTCAGCCGAAGCTGCTCCCAAACAACCAGACAGGCAGGCAGGCAGAACGGAGCACTGAATTGAAGCGCGGGCGGGCGGGCGGGGTGGGGGTAAACGGGCGCTTCGGAGGAGCTGCGGCGACAGGAAAAGCCACCCCCCCCCCGGCTTCTTTGAAGCAGTTTCTTCCTGGGTTGGTGGAGCAGCGAGAGAGCGACTGAGAGAGGAACGAGGCGGGAGGAAACCGAAGCTGCTGAGCCAGAGAGCAGGACAGGCTTTGGTTGCTTCCTCCCTCCCCTTCTTTCATTTGTGTCCTTGATCCCCGATCCCAGCAGCATTCACCGAAGGCGAAGAAAGCCGCCATTTATTTTTTTTATTTGCGGCCCGGTACAGAGTGCTCCACGGACCGGGACCGGTCCACGGCCCGGTGGTTGAGGACCCCTGCTGTACAGTACATGTAGGTTTTTACTTCCAGAAACTTTTAAACAAAGTTCAAAATAAGCAGTCCAAAGTCATTCACAGGTAAGGCAGTCAATTTTCAGTCCAGAGATAATCCAATAACAAAGTCCAGTGTCAAAAAACAGTTCAGTATCAGATTTACATCAAATCCAGGAATATCAGTCAATTAGGAAAAATGGCAATACTCTTCAACAGAAGGAAACAGAGACTCACTGAGACACACTCTCTTCTGAGACTAAGACTAAACAACCCAGGTTTCTGGCTCCGTCTTATGGCCGTTTGAGAAACCACACCCAATTACACTTTTAACATTCCCTTAAAGAGGCAGTATTAAAATGTCTATCCTGGTTTATATATTTCTAACCCAAATAGCTGTTAGGTGACTTATATTCCTAACAGCTGTGGCCCTCCAAATTTAGAAATGGCCCCCCTTCAGCATATGTGACTCCCTCCCTCCTATTTATATAATCAGCACCCCTCAACACATCTGGATTTGCACTTTTAAAGAGAGTGTCTGTTTTCCAAGTGTCTTTGCACCTTCAACTTTCTAGAATTCTAGAAGAAGCTGATCTCAAAAATCAGCTTCTCCCTATTACATTAATAAAGTACATAAATAAACGCCATTGCAAAAACCAGTCCCAACCACCAAAAACTTCGCTCAAGACCAGACTTATCCATACTGCAAAAAATCCACTCCCGTGAACTCCGCGCAGAACTCAAAAACTGCCTAGACAATGGAGAAAAGGATTTATACATTGACTACCATGCTGATTGCATCAAAAGAAAGTCACACAACCTGCAACTCCGCATGCAACCCCACCCCATCCAATCCAACATCACTCAAAACTAGGCACGCACGCTCCTAACTACCTCTATTCCAACCACAACTGGCCTTAAATGCAAGCTACTCAATGCAAGAAGCCTTGTAAATAAAATACCTGAATTTCTCCTCTTACTAAATACAGCTAAATTCGACATAATATTTGTCTGTGAAACATGGCTCAATGCATCTCTCCCTGACTCCACTACCACAATAATAGACTATCATGTTTACCGATCAGATTGTGAAATCCATAGAGGAGATGGTGTTGCTATCTTCTATAAAAAGTCCCTACATCTAAAAAACATCCAAGTTACCCAGGAGCTTGCTATTCCTGAGACCATCATCTGTGAACTGTCCTTAAATATCACATTTCGGTTCTTACTATGTTACAGAGCCCCTGATTATGACATCGAACATGCAAACAAGCTAAATACATTACTAACATGGGCAGCATCCTGCCCACACGCTTTTATCTTTCTTGGTGACTTCAATCTACCTCATATTAACTGGACCCTTAACGAATGTACAACTGAACCCACACATGGAACCTTCTACAATGCAGTAACAAATCTGGGACGAGAACAACTAGTAACCAACAACACTAGACTTAACAACTGCCTCGATCTCATCTTCTGCAATAATTTGAATTCAATTTACGGAATACAAATTAAAGAACCCTTTTCCAACAGTGACCACAACATGATTGACTTTTGTCTCAACATACGTCCACACAAAAATCATCACAACGACGGAATCCCCAATTATAACTTCAAAAAAGTCAACGATGATCTTATAAACAACGATCTCTCATCCCTTGACTGGCAATTTCTATTCTCTGGATGCAATACTGTAGAAGACCATTCCAACATATTTTTACTTGAAGTCAAAAGAGCCATCAAATTATATGTACCATTAACAACTCCCAAAACCAGAAAAAACAAATAACCCATAACAATATGGAAGCTTCAACTTTGGCGGAAAAACAAATCTGGTCACGTTGCCAACTTCAAAAGCCGATACCAAAATTTATGCCACCAGATAAAGACTGAATGCACCAATTATCACATTAAACAAGAAGAAAACCTTCTATGCACCAATTCCACCCGTGCTTTCTACAATTTTGTAAACAACAAACTAAAAGACTCAAGGTCCATCCCATCCCTGAAAGGACCTAATGGTAAAGACTGCAATGACGACACTATTAAAGCCAACCTCTTTAACACATTCTTTGGCATTCTTTGTAAACAGCAATGGATCATGTCCAGTATTTCCTAGTCAAACCACAGACAACTACAATGATCTAATACAATCAATTTTACAGAAGACAATGTTGAAAAAGCATTACACAATCTAAAACCATTTCTATCTATTGGACCGGAGGGAATATGTGCCTACTTCTTAAAAAAGCCATCCACTGCCATAGCCGAACCTCTAAGCATAATCTATGAAAAATCTTTCAGGACCAGCTCCTTGCCAAAACTATGGTCACAAACCACGGTCATCCCCATCTTCAAAAAGGGAGACCCCAGCCTAATTGAAAATTACAGAGCAATCTCTTTATGCTGCGTCACCTGTAAAGTCAAGGAATCAATTATTAACCAATCCATCATCCTCCACTTAGAAACAAACAACCTACTCTCTAATAAACAATTTGGTTTCAGGAAAAAAATATCATGTAATCTGCAACTCTTAAACTGCAAAAACATATGGACTACACAACTCGATCAGGGCAAAGCAATAAACGCAATCTACATAGACTTCTGTAAAGCCTTTGATTCAGTGGTACACGACAAATTACTCCTAAAACTAAAATCTTACGGTATCTCTGGACACCTGCATAACTGGATAGAAGCATTCCTGTCAAACAGACAACAAATGGTCAAAATTGGGAGCGTCCTATCAAATTCTGTACCTGTCAACAGTGGTGTCCCCCAAGGCAGTGTTCTAGAACCAACTCTTTCCATACTCTACATAAATGACCTCTGTGATCATATTAAGAGCAACTGCATTCTCTTCGCTGATGATGTAAAGCTGTTCAACACCACAGACAATACTGCTACCCTTCAAAAAGATCTTAACTATGTATCAGAATGGTCAAACAAATGGCAACTTCAAATCTCAACAAATAAATGCTCTGTCCTACATATTGGCAAAAATAATAATAATCAGAAAATAAAATACAGTCAAGACCTTGTTGATGATCCAAACTCTGTCAAGGATCTTGGAATACTCATCTCTAATGATCTAAGTGCTAGAGCCCACTGTAACTACATAGCCAAAAAGGCGTTAAGAGTTGTTAACCTAATCTTACATAGTTTTTTCTCTGGTAATATGACACTAATAACTAGAGCATACAAAATATTTGCTAGACCAATATTTGAATACAGCTCATCAGTCTGGAACCCACATTACGTATCTGATATTAACACAGTTGAGAAAGTCCAGAAATATTTCACTAGAAGAGTTCTCCACTCCTCTACTCGTTGCAGAATACCTTATGCCACTAGACTTGTTTTCTAGACCTAGAAAACATAAAACTGTGCCGCCTTCGGTCTGATCTAAGTATACTATATAAAATCATACATTGCAATGTCCTACCTGTCAATGAATACTTCAGCTTCAACCATAACAACACAAGAGCAAACAATAGATACAAACTCAAGGTTAACCGCACCAAACTTGATTGCAGGAAATACGACTTCAGCAACAGAGTGGTCAATGTCTGGAATATTCTACCTGACTCTGTGGTTTCTTCCCCAAACCCCAAAAACTTTAACCTTAGACTGCCTACTATTGACCTCACCTCTTTCCTAAGAGGTCTGTAGGGAGCATGCATAAGCGCACCAATGTGCCTACCGTCCCTGTCCTATTGTTCCTTTTATTTTTTTTATTTTTCTTGTATGTATCCATGTATTCATAACTATGTTCTTTACTTATACCTATTATCTTGTAAGCAATTGACAAAAATAAATAAATAATGATAATGGTACTTAATGATACTGTGATGCATTAAGAAAACTTACATTCTGCTCTTTCAACAATCGCCTGGAGATGGAGAAACCAAAACAGCATTCATTCAGTAACTGAAGGCTCTGGCTTTCTTCATGGCAGAAAAAGGAGACAGGAGGAGCAGGAGCTGTTCCTGTACTTCTGTATGTATAAAGCCAGAGCAGGATGGGAACACCTACAGTTTTATTTATTTGTATTTACAGTATTTTTTAAAATTTGCATGGTGATACAACATAATGACCCTCCGTGACTTTGAAGATGTAACTAATCAACATATTGGCAGGGATCCAAATATGAGGCGGGGGAGAGGAAGCAGTAGGCAATGAAACAGAGCATGACTGCAGCCACATCCTTACAGAAGAAACATCCTCACAGCTTACCGGGCCAACTGAAGTTAAGAAAACTTTCCCATGAGATGAGCAACAACAGGTCTAAACAAAATCAACACTTGGTGAAGGGATATTTAGCAACAGATAGAAATAAGAACTTTCAGGTAAGAAGAAAGGGTAGAGTGGAATTTGGAAGAAAGGGAAAGAAACGTAAATTTAAAGAAAAATAGAATCCTTAAAATGTCTTTATAAAATGAATAACTTAAAATATGTCTTACAGGTAGTCCTGGACTTATAACAGTTCACTTAGTCACCGTTTGAAGTTATAACAGCAATGCAACAAATGACTTATGACTATTTTTCACACGTGACCATTACAGCATCCCTATATAGTCATGTGCTTAAAATTCAGACGCTTGGCAACTGATTCATATTTATGACCGTTGTAGTTTCCTGGGGTCATGTGATTCCCCTTTTGCAACCTTCTGACAAGTAAAGTCAATGGGGAATCCAGATTCACTTAACAACCCTGTTACTAGCCTAACAATTACAGTGGTTCACTTAACAACTGTGACAAGATAGGTCGTAAAATGGGCAAAATTCACTTAATAAATACCTTGCTTAGCAACAAAAAAATTACACTCAGTTGTAGTCATAAGTCAAGAACTACCTGTATGTTGTAAATAAAATTGTTTTGCTGAATGAAAACTTGTTCCACTAGGCTGACCTGTGTTTATTTTCTAGTTGTTGCCATTACCAAATGACAGACAGACTTTCTCCCACTTGGTGCCTTCCAAAGTATGGACTTCAATTCCCATTTCAATTCCCAGAATTTCTCAGGCATATTGTAAAAGATAAGTCACTTATCTGAACAGTATCCAGACTGGGGGAGGATGTACTAGCATATAAAGAGCAATAGCAGTAGCCAAGAGCATTTCTGCATGAGTGAATTGTAGTAAATTGTTGTGGCAAAATAAACCAGCTCTCTATTAGTGATTTATTTCTACAGTGCTGACTGAATAATAATATAAATTATTAGTGCTGAAATGAATGATAAATTGCTCATCTGGAAATATTCTCTCTTCAATAGAAATAAATATTTTCAAATATTAAAATTCAGTACTATTTTGTGTTTTGAATTAAAAGTGTTTTGAAGACTAATTTGATTTCTAATTTTCCTGCAATTGTTTTTACATTACAAATGAATTCAAAGACTCCCATTATTATACATGTTGTTTTTATCAGTTGCATGTTATCCCAAACCATTGCCTTTTTAACCCATTAAATGAGTTACATACTTGCTGTTATTGCAAGATTTTATTCAAGTATGATCAGGGCAAAAAATGTATCCATTGTCAGAGCCAATTCTTAATATATAAATTTGAGAAAGGATAAGGCTAAAACACAGATCTGGATGAGCTGAATATTCCATGCCAGTTCTGGGAACTCTATTGGTTTTGTGGCATAGATATTGAGACTCAAAGTTTCCTCTGAAGTCAGGAAGTTCAAAACTACTGTAATACAGCAATGCATATGAATTGTCTGTATTGCCCAATATTAAATAACACTGCATTTCAAATTACCTATCAAAACCTATCAAATATTAACTGCCTGATATCTGGTACTGACATCATGTCTCATTTTGAACCATAACCTGGTATTAAATGGGACATTGTATTCAAGTTTACATGTTGCAGAGAATTTTCAGACATGGTAATTGATAGTAATTATTTTAAATAAAATGTTGTCAAGAAATTCGTTCTGGCCTGGACTTCCCCTTTCCCAATATTCTCATCACACGTATGTTTTTTGTTTTTTTAACCCAAGCCTACCAATTCCCAAGGCACGGTCCTAGGATATGGGACACACCTGCCTTGCTAAAGCTAAGGAAGTCAGCATCCAAACAGGGGGATTAGTTGGGCAGTGTTTGTATGCTGCTGTGAGTTCCAATGGACTCAATTTTTCAGCCGGTTCTCAAAGATTTATGATCTATCCTCTTTTATCAGTTTCCCTTTTATTAAATTAGGTGGTTCTCCTCCACCTCACATATAATCTTCATATCCTACCTTCACATTATACAAATGAATCCCCCTTTTAACCTTAGTTTTAAAGTAATTCATTTTGGAAGATGAAGTTTAGCCCAGTAACCTCACATCCTTTTGACCTTTCCCTCTCTGGTTCCCTATCACAGTTCACTTTAATAGCATTTCCCTGCTTCTTAGGAAACCCTTGGTCACTGCTCTCCTGAAGCCAGTGCGTTTGTCTGAGTCAGTACAATTGTGATTTTTGGATTATCCATGGTTGACAACAATGGGTATAAACTGACAATGGCAGTTCAACTTACCATGTAGTCTTTTCTTTGGAAAACTTTATTCCTGGCACTTTGCCCATACGTCTCACAACCATTCGCAGCCTGTTATTCCCTGTCAGAACCTTGATGGCACTTCCCATTGTAATGTTCTCCAAGCTCACACTGTTCACCTCTGTGATTTTGTCTCCAACACGAAGTCCAGCCTGTTCTGTTTATATTAAGCAGAGAATGTTCAGTTTCATTGATTGTCCTTTTCTGGGCTTACTAAAATTAAAGAACTACTGAAACAACAAAGAGACAAACTACAGCAACTTAATTACATCAAAATAGATTAGAACTTTGAATTATTATCCATTCATTTACAGTATATTGCAACGGACATGTTACCCAACTGTTTTGGGTTATCTCCTTTTTGTACTATATGGATAAATATAGTCACACTGTAGGTTTTTCCCAAGTATTCTAAAATGTATAATAACTTTTTGTCTTTACATTATCAAAATGCTGGTTGTTCACGATAGTCATAAGCAAGTATGTGAATCCTGACATATTATCATATTTTCCAGAACATCAGTAAAAACATTCTAAAATATCAGATTTAGCAATATGATATACAAAGAAAAATATATGATGAATGACCTTTTAGTGACATTATTTTTCATTTTGGTTACAATATCCAGACATATGGACTGGAGTAGAAGTGACTAGCATTGAACCCAGAATATGTTTTTATATTAATAGTTTATAAGCAGATTGTTGCCTGTGCTTGAGTCTGGGAACGTTGAAGCCCTTTTACTGACCTGCACTGCTGCCCTCCTCCACCTTGCTGACAAAAATACCCAGGCCATGTTCAGAGCCCCCACGCACACTGAAACCCAGCTTCCCGTCTTTGCTCTTCTCCACTGTAATGGCATTGATAGCATCACTCTCGTCACTGTTAGCTATGAAGGGGACATAAAACAAAACAGTAATGAAGGTATAGCTTCAAAAAAGCTCAGTATGCTGGCCTGCCCAGTGGATGCTTACTCACTCTTGCATCCAAAACACTCCATAGACAGAAAACCAGGAGAAATGTTTAGACATCAGATGCAGATCAGCCTTTTTTCCAAATGACATACCAGTTTTAAGAATAATAGTGAAATAGGCTAGAGCCAAAGGCCACAGACTGTGTTATAAATTTCAGACAAGTTACTTAAAAAGTGAATAATCAAGACTCCATGGCTGCTGAATAAGATCAACTCCCTGAGCATTCCTCATGGGTACCATAGGTTTTGTTTTAAGACACAAAAAATTGATTTAAATCCTAAAATAGTTTTACAATACCCCATTCAATTTAAGGAAAAAAAGAAAATCCTGCATCTATTTATTTATACCCCACCTTTATTATTTTTATAAATACTCCAGGAGGTGAACACATCCAATGTTTCTGTCCCCCCCCCCCCCAATAATAGCCCTATGCAGTTGGGCTGAGAGAGAGACTGGCCCAAAGTCACCCAGCTCTCTCTCTCTCTCTCTCTCTATCTATCTATCTATCTATCTATCTATCTATCATCTCTCTTTCTCTATCTATCTATTTATCCATCTTCTCTAAATCTATCTCATCTATATCTATGTCTATATATCTATATCTATATATCTGTCTATATATCTACATATAATTATATCTGTATCTATATATTTGTATATCTATCTATTTCATCTATTATCATCCATCATCTCTCTCTCTCTCTCTCTCTCTCTCTCTCTCTCTCTCTCTCTCTCTCGTTGGTCCTGATCCATTCCTTGATTATTATGGTATCTAGGGAGACTTAGCAGTTGTCCCTTGATACATATTTTTTCTTTTCCGTTAGAACAAATTTTCTCCCCAAGAAACTTTTAGATGTGTAAGATGATAATTCTTAGTGCATCTATTGAACCTGTTAGCTTGGGCTGACAAAATTCATAGTCCAGCATATCTCGATGGGTGTAAAGAGTTGTGGAAGACCATATATAAAAAACCCCAAAATATTTAGAAGATGGTCATGTTTGATTTCTGGAATTAAATCTTTAAGCCATATTTCTTTATTATTCTAGTGATGTATGTACATAGGAAAGTAGAGTAGAAGTCTATGAATACACAAGTGCTATGTATTTGTGGATAAAGGTTATCTATGTTATGCTAATGCATAACTGGTAGAACTTTTCACTGTTGTCCATTAAAAACATGACTGGATGTTTTTAAGAAGAAACTAGAAAGTCACTTATCTGAAAGAGTTTAGGGTCTCCTGCTTGAGCAGGGGGTTGGACTAGAAGACCTCCAAGTTCCTTCCAATTCATTCATTCATTCATTCATTCATTCATTCATTCAAAAGGATACTAAGATTGAAGACAAACTGCTAATAATATTAGCAAACTTGATTTTCATCCTTGGTGAACATTCATTAAACTACACCAGAAATCAGAGCTTCAGATATGAGAAATGTCATCTGTGTGCTGTGGTCTCCCCTGTTCACCCCAAAAGTACCTTCTAGTGGTGTGTTAATAAGAATAACTCTTCCCATAGGCGATGATGGGTGGAAGTTTTGATTATTCCCATTCATAAGACGATTCTGCCTGCTCAGCAAGTGGAGGTTAGCTGTGCTGATCTCACTGCTGGAGTCCTGAGAATGAGCAGGATAAAAGAACTCCTCCGGGAAGGAATCCGAAATATTAGCCATGGCAAGATCAGACTTTGGTTGCTCCTGGCGAGACTTTCAAGCCATCTGATTCTACAGATCTTTTGGAGAAGCACGCCTTGTCTTGGGTGATGGAAGAGTCTGTTTTCCTCATGAAGGCTGACAAGAGTTAGATTTTGGCCTCTTTGGTTGTTTTTTTCAGAGAAAAAAGTTGTTGAGCATATTCCAATGCACCTTGCTATCGAGCGTGAGGGTTCATTTTGCTGATGAAAATTGTACGAAAATACAAATACAAAAAAAATATAGAAAACTGTTTTTATATTTAAAATGGAGGATCTAGATAAAACACCTTGCTTCTCAGAGGGCTTGATCTGTGAATTGCTCTTACTTCCATACAGTTGTACTATATTAACAACAAATATGTAATTAAACAATTGCATATATATAAACATATATGCATACACTCACAGACATTTATATACTGCTGTACTTAAAAAATCTCAGATTAAGATCGGAAACCTATCTACAAGGAGAACTTGAAAGAAATTACACTGAACCATGTTGGATATGAATTGTGAGGAAATATGATTACATTGTTTGGAAACAGAAAAATAAATCTTAGTTTCCAGGCTAAAATAACTTCACTCCATTTTATGCCATTTTGGAAGCCTAGCTGACAAAGCCACCCTTCATCTTTTTTAAACTTTTAGGAGAGAATAAAGCTTTTTGTCATTTTCAGTATTGAGAAAATCTTTAAGAATTAAAATGTGTGAGTCAAATATTAAACTACTGAATATGACTTAGGGAGTAATACACAATGGCTGTATTCGCTCAATGAGTTAAATAGTTCCGGTTAAAATAGTTAAAAAGTCCAAGCAGTTCTACAGGATATAAACTTTGTTATTTTATACCTAGTTTTAGTTTGATTTCTTGACTTAGCATGTTGTAGAAACTCAGTTAATTTGATTCCTTGTATGAAATATTGTCCAAAGCCAGAAAATAGATTGATTCATTCATCAGATTATATAGAGCTATCAGACCTGCTGTAAAAAATCCACATGGTTGATGATATAGATAGAAGGCCGAACCGGTTTTGCAGACCCAATTCAGTAGCCCTCAGGTGATTGTTATATGCAAAGCAGTTACCATAAAGTAAAGAAAAATCTAATGCATATTCAGAATTCCTAGATTGTTTGCTCTTTGGAGTAATGTGGTGGATGCATCATTTTATACTCCTAGAAGCAGACATATTACTGGGAATCAACATGATGAATGAACAATTTCAAAATGAATAAAGCTGACTTAGAAAAAAATGGTTAAATTTAAAACCGAAAGGAAGATGGGGTCAGATTCTTTCCTTTCCAAGATCACGGTCTGATAGAGAGGTTAAACGGAAAGCAACTTTACAGAATCTGGTATTCTCCAAATGTGTTCGGTGGGAATTATCCAAGATTCCAAAAGTTGCAGCACATACACATCTCTCAGGGTGGGAAATGAGAGTCTAGTATATATACTTGTTTACTTTATTAATGTAGCATTAGATGTATGGCTTGGAAATTTCAAGCAAATCTGATGAGCTTCCATAGTTCCATATTCATATTGAGACCAGAACTTGACTGAAATTATTTTGTTTGTTCATGATTACATCAGACTACCTTGACATTTCTATAGTAAGTGACTGAGATCAGTGCAAATTTAAATGTTTGAAAAGAAAAACAACTCTTTTAAAATTTATTCTGATATTTTTTTTTCCAGAAAGTAATCAGAGACTAGAAATCAGGAATATATTTCAAAATCTTTTACTGAATTGCATAAGAATCTATTGCTATTATCCAGCTAAACCATAGCATTTCAATTTGCAATACTGACAAAAATAAAAATAAGGCAGAGAAAACAAATAATTAGATAAGTTTTATGAAATTATAGAAATTAAAAATGCATTTTTGCTTGTATGCTTATACTTTCTTATACTTAAACAATGTCTAAACATGTGCCACTTTGTTCACTACTTATTATAAATTAAATGAGTAGGAATAATTAAAACAGGCATTTTTTACATATCTAGTGGCAGACATAGACCAGTTATCAAAACAGGAAGATGTGAAGTGCAGGTAGAGACAAATAGATATTAGGCAGTAAACAGTGGGAGCCTGATCAAAATTTCACTTTATGTTACACTGAAAGATTACTTCATAGCTGGACATCAAGCTGGATTTGAATTTAAAATTCGTTCAGTACTTCTGTTTGATAATATGGGGACTCTGTTGCAATCTCTGAAACATCTATCATCCCATATTCATTAAGCAACACTTGCTTAGAACTTGAACCAGAATGTAAACATATCACAGCAAAATATTTTGCTCTTAATGTGCAACATTTTATTTTCATTAATTACAAGCTTTATTGTACTCTCAATAAGACATGCCTTTTGTTTCTAGGCAGCACAATCGTCGGCATTGTTATGTCTAAGACCCAGGAGAGTTCTCCCTTCCTTCTGCCATGTAATCTCACATAGGAAAGAGAGAAGGGATTTTCCGGGCTCTTCAGCATGAATGATATACTAGGCCCATTCCCCTACCCTCCCTCCACAATAGCCTCTTTGCTTGCATATTATCTGGAAACAGCCTGCTTGCTCAGTGACCTGACCCTAATAAATAAGTGATTTCATCCTTCCATTAGAGACACAGCACAAGGATGGGGAACTTACAGACAACTATGAGAGAAGATGAGATACGGGGCATGTTACATCTAATACAAGGCCACTAGTAGATATTTTTTTCCAAGAATACACTCTTCTGCTCCTTTTGCTCCAGAGGAGCAAGAATTTTCAGGACCTTGGACAGAACTTCTAAACCCCTTGGATTAAATTATGCTCTACCTTATTCAGGTAAGTCTTTTTTTTTTAAAACTTGTCTTGTTAAAACTACAGTTCATCCTTACTTAACACAAAAGAATTTGAAAATAAGTAAGGGACAGAAAGGAAAGATAAACCGTTAAAATGTCTAATCTAACTCTTTAAAAATGCCTTACCTGTTTCCACATTGCTCAGCAAACTTCCTTACCTGGGAAAACACACACACCGATACCTGCAGATCTAATGTTTGCAACAGGTACCTCCCACTATGTCACATGGATTGGTTAGTCCAACTAGGAACAAAGGCCTTCATAGGTTAGATTATCTGTCAGTTATTCACAGTATTTCCTCATGGCATTAGTTCGTAGACAAAAACCAACTCAGTGGAGAGTAAAATGTGGGACTGGGAATTTAAGAGAGAAAAATAGGAGCACTTAGGGAGTAACCTGAACATCTGTAGAAATTGAAACCAATCATCAAAATATTGTTTTTAAATTTTTGAACTGAGGCATATGTTTTAATATAGAAAATAGATTTTGCTTATTAATAGCTAGATACTATTAAATCTTACTGGAAGTGCTACATGAGTCTTGAACACTTTGATGATTTATGTATCATATTTATACTTTCACTAGCAAAGGGGTTAATTACAAAAGATTAAAATGTGATTGTTTTAGCGAGTGACACATTGGTCATATAAATTTATTAAAATAATTAACACCTTTTTGTCCCTTCTATATTAAGGTCCTTAAAGCATATGCAACTAAATGGGAAAGATGGTTTTATCAGGTGCAACACAGGGGATGTCTTGCAATTAAATGGGAAAGGTGGAATTATTAGGTGGAATTTAACTGAGAATGATAGAATAAGTACATTCAATTAAGAAGCCAACTGAATAGCTGTAAGTTCCGCTTGCTTCAGTTATCCCAATTTTCAGACTTAGCTGTGAGAGAATAGTCTGTTCCTTATACTTTGACAGCCAAATATTTATCAATCTGTCTCTTCTTTGACACCACTCTGACTAGAGACTAATAATAGAGAGATAATCACTTTACAATTCAGAGCAAACTCTTCCTTAAATTTAGTTTCTTTAGAAATTCCTCATACAATTTATCCCATGATTTCTGTCATTAGGAATACCTAGGGATATTTTGTAATTCTGCTTAGACTACAAGCTTTTGAGGAGAGACTCTGTCGTTGAACATCTTGTACAGAAAAGGTGACCAATTCTGATATTATTTTTTTTTTTTAAAACAAGTTTTATTAAAAGTTTCAACAACAAACAAATCATTACATATTGAATCTTTCCCTGTCTTTCTACAATAATTTCCCCAATATTCTCATAAAACACAAACAAACACAAACAAACATAAAAAAAATCTTTTAGTAAAGTACCTTGGCCCCAGTTACCTCTCTTTGCATGGGCTAAAATAATAGCACATATCACTCTTCACATTTCTATCTTATTTAATCCATCTTAATTAAATCATTAAATTTGTATCTTTTGCCCATTCAATTATCCCTCTATCTCTTCTTATAATAAAAAAAAAATTTCTCCTGAAATCACTAATCAGAGTATGATGCCTTTCTATCCTCCCCCTAAGTTAGTAAAATTAACATTCAGCATAACAAATACCCAATTTGGTTCTGCTTGGTACATTCTATCCACCAAAAATATTTAAATACATTGTATCCTCCTTTCCTTCGATATTTTATTACATTTTAAAAATCAATCATTATTAAAAACTTCAACATTTTAATTTCTTATTAAATCTTAAACCATTCTAATTTACTATTTCAAATATAAATGTTACAATACCATCTTCTGTACCTTAGCAGAATCTTTCTTACAGAAAATTATATTTCATCCTTTGTCTCTAAAAAAAATCCCTCTTCTCCCATCCAATTTTAAAGCTTTGAGGCTTTTCTCCGCCTTTCCCCTTTCTTTCTTCCCCCACCAAATCTTCCTACCCCCCCTTCTTCTTCTAACCTCTGCCTTGCTGGGATCCCTTCTCTGTTGTGTTCCCTTTTTCTCTTGTTTATTATCATTATATTTACTTTGCATCATATTTTTCTCTTTCTCAAATGTTTTTTTAGATCTTAAGTCCTTCATTTTCCTTGCTCTCCTCCTTCCTTCTTCCTTAGATAAGTTTTGGGATTCAATGAAGATGGCGTCTTCGTCTCTTCC